TCTTGTTTTGTTGTTTTAATCTTTTTTTTTAAAACTTCCTAAGGAGAGAGAGTCCTCTCATTTGTACTTCTCTAAATGACTAGTTTTCTAACAAACTGTTCAGATTCCACTGCTCTCCGTGCCCGCACAAAGATCCCAGCACCAGGGAAAACTGGGCCTGATAGTGCAAGTCTGCAACACCAGTGCTGGGGACACAGGAAGAGGAGGAGAGGGGGCAGCGGGAGAGGGTGGGAGATGGGAGGAGAGGGGGCAGTGGGAGAGGGTGGGGGATGGGAGGAGAGGGGGCAGTGGGAGAGGGTGGGGGATGGGAGGAGAGGGGGCAGTGGGAGAGGGTGGGGGATGGGAGGAGAGGGGGCAGCGGGAGAGGGTGGGGGATGGGAGGAGAGGGGGCAGCGGGAGAGGGTGGGGGATGGGAGGAGGGCGGGCAGCTGGAGAGGGTGGGGGATGGGAGGAGAGGGGGCAGCGGGAGAGTGTGGGTGTGGCTAACAGTGCTGGGGGCACAGAGAGGAGGAGATAGGAGATGGGGGCGACTTGCTGGACTGCTAGTCTGACCAATTCGCAAGCGCCAGATTAAGTGAGAGACCTTGTCTCAAAAAATAAAATGGAGAAGGATAGATGAAGACACCTGGCATCAACTTCTAGCCTCCACACTTACACATGGGCACACGCATGTCCTGCATACGTGTGCACACACACACCACAAGAAGGAGGAAGAGAGGAAGAAGATGACACACAGAATTACCAAGAACTGAATCAGACGCTTGGTCTGAATCTTGGCATTTTCATCTGCTGGGTGGGAGTGTGTAGAGTTTTATAACACAGGGACCTGGGATCATTTGAGAGATATCCAGTATACTATGTAAGCCAAACACGTGGTGACAGAGCGATGACTGGTTAGAACTAGTAAATCAGTCCCCTTTGTATCTAGGGAAGGTGAGCAGGAGGCGTTAGGAGGCTAACAGGCGGCATTGCAGCAAAGGGCAGTGCTCCTTCCTAAGTCCCGCAGGATCGGGCGTGAATAGAGGGACCGGGTGCAGGCTTATCTGCTCAGCAGTTAGACACAGCCATTTCCCACTGAGGGTAGACTCAGAACCTGCAGGCAGAAAGAGGTTAAGCCAGGTGTAGAGTGAGCTGGAGGACTGGGGCCAGGGCTCATTAGAAATCTGGTATTTCAGGTTGGACTGGACTTTGGGAATGGCTGCTCCTTTGTTCAGGGGCAAAAGCACTTTAGATCTGGCTGCACTCTCAAAAGTGACTTGTGGAAAATGGATCCACGGCTTTTCCAGCTTTAGAGAGAGAGGCTGGGCCTCCGAGCAGACACCAGCTCCCGGGCTCCCCAGGGCGACATTGTCCCGTGTAATTACAGACAGCAGAGAAGTAACCTGAGCAGCCTACACCAGCTGGGACCCACACTCCGTGAAGGCAGTGTGGAAGCACAGGGCACGCCGTCTGCAGATCTCCACACAGTAGTGCATGCCGGCTGCAGATCTCCACACAGTAGTGCACATGTCTGCAGATCTCCACACAGTAGTGCACATGTCTGCAGATCTCCACACAGTAGTGCATGCCGTCTGCAGATCTCCACACAGTAGTGCATGCCGTCTGCAGATCTCCACACAGTAGTGCACACGTCTGCAGATCTCCACACAGTAGTGCATGCCGTCTGCAGATCTCCACACAGTAATGCATGCCGTCTGCAGATCTCCACACAGTAGTGCACACGTCTGCAGATCTCCACACAGCTGTCTGCCTACTTTCAGGGTCACATATTCCCTTTCCCTTTCCTGTGAGATCAATGCTAAAGCAAAGTGATGTGGACGTCCCTGGTTCACTGTCAAATCTTTCCCCCTCCACTGTGATGTTTTGAAATCCCTACATTTCGATTTCCCCAGCATCAATACCCAACACCATTGTGTCGTGAATTCCTTCCTGTAGCAGCTTCTCTTCAAAAATTGCTTCATGTTACCTGTGACTAATTGCCTAAATAAAAACAAACAGCATGTGAAACAAAACAACGCATGCCCCTCCTCTCTTGGGGCACATTTTGTTCCAGCCCAGAGAAAAAGGAATGGAGAGCACGGCTCCTTCCCACCTCTACCCCCACGTCCCTTCAGAAACAGAACACAGCCGCCTGGTCCCTCTCTAGCTCTATGTGTGTCAGAGCACGTGTGAACTGAATGGCCTGGGACTCACTAGGAGCTCCAACCTACCTTTCATTTGCTCGTGCATTGTTCTGGAAACGTCCATGAGTTGTAATTTACTCTAGAGCCAGCTCCTGGGTGTCACGGTGTGTCTCTTCCTTCTGCCAATTCCTCAGCCAAGCCGCACTTTAATCCCAGCACTCGGGAGGCAGAGGCAGGCGGATCTCTGTGAGTTCGAGACCAGCCTGGTCTACAAGAGCTAGTTCCAGGACAGGCTCCAAAAACCACAGAGAAACCCTGTCTCGAAAAACCAAAAAAAATTAAAAAAAAAAAAAGAAATAAGACGACAGGAGACTAGCTTGTGGGAAATAACAAATTGTATTAGGTTCCTAAGTTTTTCAGAGTACACATATATACACACGCACACACATACATAGATACATACAGACATACATACACACACGTACACACACATACACATACATAGACAGACACATACACACAGATGCACACACATACACACATGAACACACACAGACACACATATACACACAATAATATACATATATATACATACATACACAAAATACACACCACATGCATACATATATATACACACACATATACATACCACACAACATACACACATCACACATGTATATGCACACATACATACATATACATACATGTACACACATACACACATATATACGTATGCACAAACATACACACATATTATATACACCACACACATACGCATGCCCATACACACATACATATATACATACCACACATATACATATATTTACACACCACACACACATATACATACATACATACATACACATATACTCATCACACGCATACACAGACACACACATACACTATACATACACACATATACACATACACACATATATGCACATCACAACATATGCACACACATACACAAATATAAGGCTCAAAGCAGTGCAGGTTCCCTAGAACTAATCAAAGCTTCTGGAGGAAGGAAGTGGAGCAGGCAGGACAGGGAAGGCTGTGCACGAGGTTCCCTTGGGTGTGGTGAAGTCCTGAGGTGGCAGCCACCTGGGCCAGTCTGTCTGGGTAGATGTCACAGTCCTTCTCTTCTTCCCGGGAAGTTTATTTCCTAGGTAGAGGACAGACAGTAGATGGGACGGGCTCAAACATTTTTACAAGAGAAAAGCTTTTGTCCGTCTGTCCCTGCTCTGGAAGACAGCCTGGAAGTGTGATAAGGAAAGGTATTTGGGGGAGGGATATTTTGAGCTCCCTCAAGTTACAGAGCCTGCCCTCAAGGCAGGAGGGGAAGAAAGTAGATGGGAGGAAGAACTGGCTGGGTAGGAGGGAAGGGAGCTGATCAACATGATGTAAATTACATGAGGGTTTCTGAAGACCCACCAGTAGATTCAGCTCATCTGAGCTGGGCAGACCGCAGCCTACTGTCTGGGTCTGTCCTGTCCGCCTGTGAGATGGCTGGACCCTCTATCATCTTTCTTGTTTAGGTGGTTGGATGACTTAATCACAAAAGCTTGAGGAAAAGAATACCAAAGTAAAGATGACACTTAAGTACAAACACATGGTGGTACCACATACCTCCTGCTGTTACCGTCTGAGCAGCCGTGGGCACTGACCTGCCGACCCTCTCCCCGCGTCCTCCCTGCCTCCTCCCTGACTTCTCCAATTCACTTTTCTCCATGGAGATCAGATTCTACAGAATGCTGCTCTGAGGGCTGTGGCTCAGCGGTACAGCATGGGGTAGCGTGGGTTTCATCCCTGTACACGCACACACTCACACACCTGACTATGCTGTCTCTGCTTGTCAATCTTCAGCGACTTCTCTGCGCAGTTCAAGTCCATGGTCTTCTGTGGCCTTAGCTTGCTGCTCTCACCTTCTGGCAGCTTCCCTCGCCAGGCCTTTAGTGTTGTCGTGCTGAGCTGATGGCTGGGGAGCTGCAACATGGGTCTCCCAGTCCAGACCTTACACTGGTTTCAAATGCCAATGAGTCGTGGCCCATGGGTTGAGAACCCCTGCTGCAATCCATCACTCACTGGTAGATGCAGACTGAGGAGCTAAGATGTGTTGTCAGCCTCTGGCCAGTCAGTCAGAGACACACAAGGTTTCTTGGCTGTGCGTGAGTTTTCCTCCAACATGGGCGTTCTTTACATTGCTATGTCTTTTGAGTCCACTTACTATTATTTTTTTTGTTAAAGCTTTTTCCTAGGTAGTTACTTATTTTTTAGTTCATAAGCTGTGTTATGTCCATTTTGATGATAGAAACGTCATCTTGACTATCTTTCCTCCTCAGCAGACTTCCCCTTAGTGAGGTAGACAGACAGGCTGTTCTTGTGTCAATGTGATAATTAATTTTGATACTGTTAATTTCTTTCTTTTCTTTTTTTTTTTTTTTCAAGACGCAGCTTTTTTTTTTTTTTTTTTTTTTTTTTTTTTTTTTTTGGTTTTTCGAGACAGGGTTTCTCTGTGGTTTTGGAGCCTGTCCTGGAACTAGCTTTTGTAGACCAGGCTGGTCTCGAACTCACAGAGATCCACCTGCCTCTGCCTCCCAAGTGCTGGGATTAAGACGCAGCTTTTTATTGGTCTAACCCACAGGCCTACTGACAGGCTCGGGCAGCCATCTCCATCTGCCCTCCAGACTTCCCTCTGTTGAGAGCTCCTGGCTTGCCCCCTGGAGAACAGTGTCCTGGGCAGGGGTGCCAACACTCAGGTGGGGCCTGAAGGGGGCTCAAGGTGTTGGAGAGACCGTGGGGCCGAACCCCGCAGAGCCCCTGCCTTGGCAGGCTAGCAGGGGTCAGGAGGGGAGGACACCGCCAGCAGCTCCTACTGTGCCCTCCGTGCCATCAGCATCTCTCGGATGTTGTCCTCCGCTCCAGGTAGGACTTTTTCTGCTCCAGTTCTTTAATGTTTTCTTCTGCTACTTTCTGTTTTTCTAACAGCTGGTTGTGAATTACTTCCTTGGATTGTAGAATAAACATCCTTCCAACGCCTTCATACATGTTGGTCTCATCTACCAGCGTCATAATCTGTGTGTCTGTGAGGTGCGCATGCTTTTTCGTTCTGTTTAGCTGTTCAATCTGTAGGTCTGCAAGCTTCACCTTCGGCTGAGTATCAATAACTTTGGCTTGAAGCTCTGTGAAGGCCTTCTTCAACTCCAGATCCACGGGGGCCGCCATATTGGAGCACTCTGTGCGCCTGCGTTCGCTGCAAGCCGGAAAGGCGATACTGTTAATTTCTTATTTTCCCTCTTTTAACTTTAAATTTCTCCTATTCTAGCAACTAGCTTCTTAAACAAAACAAAACATTGTGTGTGCACATCCATGCGCATGTGCTTATGTGCATGTGTGTTATAGAGAGGCCGCTAGTTAGTTCCCGGCTGCTCAGCCCTGAAATAATCACACAGAAGCTGTATTATTTAAATCATTGCTTGGCCCATTAGCTCTAGCTTCTTATTGTCTAACTCCTACATATTAATTTAACCCATCTTCGTCAATCTGTATATCGCCACGTGGCTGTGGCTTACCCGCTGAAGTTCTGGCATCTGTCTCTGACTCCACCCTCTTTCTCCCAGCACTCAGTCTAGCTTTTCCACCTAACTAAGTTCTACCTTGCTATAGGTCAAGCCAGTTTCTTTAACCAATAAAAGCAACACATAGACAGAAGGCCCTCCCATACCACATGTGTGTGGGTGGAGGCCACAGGTCTGCCACACCTTGCTTTATTCATGGGTGCTAGGATTAACTCAGGCCTTCATGCTTTTAAGGCAAACCCTCTGCCCCCTGTGCCACCACCTTAGCCCTGCTCATACCCTTTTCTATCTTTAAACCATCACCCCTTCTTACCGCAACATCTTAGCCTACTCAGAATCCTGGATTTGACCCCAAGCAGTCCTCTGAACCCTCAAAGCCAGCAAACAAAGACACTTAAAGGAAAATTACTTAAAACCATGTGCTCTGGTCAAAACATTTCCTTCCTTCCTTCCTTCCTTCCTTCCTTCCTTCTTTCCTTTCTTCTTCCTTCCTTCTCTTCCTTTCCTTCTCTTCCCTCCCTCCATCTGTCCTTTTTCTCTTTCTTTTCTTTTTCTCTTCAGTTGACAATTGAACCCAGGGCCTCACACATGGTAGGCATGTGTCCTGGAGGCTGGTCTACATTGTGACAGGTTACGCCAAGGCTCTATCCAGGGGTTTTCAAGTGAACTGTGTTCTCAGAGGAAGCTGTTCTCAGTTCTTTCAGATGGACAGAGGGTGAGCATTAGTTGGGTCTCCCAGGTTTCTGGAATTCTTTCTCAGCTGAGTAGCATTTGATATTTCCTTCAACCCTCACAATCGGGAGGACAGTGAGATGTTAGGAAGTGGCCATCAGTATAAACAGGGAAAATCATGCCTCTGACTGCTTCTGGACTGAATATTAGTGAGAGTGCAGGACTCAAAGAACAAAAGAAATACATTCCAATGATGTTTGCCGCTTAGCCACTTGTATATTGTGTCCAGCCTTATAAGGCCAAAGCCGAGCGCTTAGTATGTGTGTGGGGGCAGAGCTGGGGTAAGGGGAAAGAAGGCCAGAGAAACAAACTTGGAGGCCAGCGAGCTCAGATGTTTTCTCAGCTGGGTGTCTGAAGGGCAGAGAATGGTTGGTCAGGACATCCCTGGTGCTGGCCCGAGGGGAGTCTGCCCCCAGTTACTCTGTTGTACGTCCCTGTTAACCTTGTTCCCACTGCCCAAAAGCACACTTGGGTCTCTGCATCTCCAGAGCTGGTCAAGAGTGGCTCCTCCCCCCTCGGTGACTCACAGGTTGCAGGTAGCCATGACTGATACCCCAAGGCGGGGATCTCAGCATCCTCTCCCCTTCCCTCAGGCTGCTATGCTCTACACCAGGGTTGCTACCTGGATGGGGTAGCAGAGAAGAGGCTCAGGGTTAGACACACAGATAGTTCGACTGGGTTTTCTGAAACCATGCTTTTCAATTGCTACTAAAGAAAAAATCTCGGAAGACATGGTTAATCTTAGCTTCAAGCTTCTAACAGCCTGACACAGTTGAATTTGTCTCTGTTTAAAATTCCTTCACAGGCCATCATCCCTTGGTGCCTCAGGGGTGGGGTAAGAAGTGGCTACCAACAGTCACATGCTCGGATCCCTTAGACAAGATGGCGTGGCGTTTCATAAAATCTGGAGGTGACTGCTATACTATTACTGTTTAGGGAGTATTAGTGAGGAAAAGTGCGCATGCTCAATGTAGACATAAGTGTCCCCAAATCCTCTCTGTCTGAAGTTGTTTGGAACTATGGATGTAGAATTGGCGAGGAAAAGTTGCGCATGCTCAATGTAGCGCGCCCACAAATCATCTCTGAAGTTGCTTAGAACCACGGACTATGGATGCAGAGCCCGCAGTACTGAGTGCTGGTTCTTAGGGTTATGCCAACACTGACTTTATACCCCGGGGATGTAGCTCACAGCTACTCCCTTAGAGAAGAAAGGTTGGGGTTAACTCGAGGCCCTGGTTTTGTTTGCGCCTCCTTCATGCTGAGGACAAAGCGGGAGGCCTGTATAGAAACGCCATCCATGACAGGCTCTTGCTTTCCTCCTTCTGCCCGTGCCAAACCTCTCATTCCCGCAGAGGCCCTGGCTGCAGGTGGCTCGCTCTAGAGACAGGGTGAAGTGCTGTTGCTGGCCCCAGGACGTGCCGCCTTAGCGGCCCTAGTTCGGTGTTACCGCTGGAGACTCCCCGACCTGTAAAGCCGCAGGAATAAATACCGTTTAAACACAGCTCAGAGGAAGCAGAAATTGCTTACTATAGGGCCTGCCTGCCTCTCTCAGCCTAGTGTTTTTCTTAGTTTTAGGACGAAAGCAAAACAAACAAACCGGGTCTATAAATAAGCGGCCTCTGGTTCGCCATTGTCTGCTCATTCCCAGTCCAGTTCATTCAGGGTATCGGGCTCACACTACGTGGCCTTGGGCACGCGTGGGCATCACTGACCCAGGAAGCTCCGACGAGAAGCCGGACTTGGGCTCTGCTTGCAAATGCAGAGAGGGCAGCAGGATGGTGACACAGGGCCCAGATATGAGTCATTTGTTCTGGGCCTTGAGGAAGAATTTGAAAAGTCTGAGCGGAGTCAGGAAGAATGCCAAGTTGATAGGCTAAGTAGAGCAGGGTGTGAGCTTGACAAAATGTGGGGTCACAGCCGAGGCCGCCGGGCTGCGGGCAGGCCATTGTTTTGAAAAACAACTACCACATTAGATGGTCTAGGCAGCCAAGGAGGAGCTTGCCAAGGGCCAGGTTGGTCTCAGACGCCCTCCTTGGCTTATGGTGAGGACTCCCTGCATGACTTGTCTATTCCTGGTGGTGTTGGAGGGTGCAGAGGCGGGAGACCGGTAAGACAGTGTCCTGGCCATGTGTGTGGAAGCTTCACTGTTTTGTCCTGGAACAGCTCTGTTTTCAGGAAAGATGCTGGCCGTATTTTTGAGAAACGATTTGGAAGTCGGGTTGGGGGAAATCAAGTCCTTCTTGTAGGGAAGGATCCCAGACGACTTTACGGAGTGCTGAGAGTGGACCCCGAGTTCTCTAAAGGAGGGTTTAGTTTGGGGGAACAACTGGGAAGGAGAAAAGTGTGGCCCAAGGGCAGGCAGGGAGCAAGTGTATTTCTCACCGACAGAGCTACAGGTGCCGAGGAAGAGGCCAGGAGTAGAGACGGAGGGAAGACGGAAGGAGAGGTGACTTTAGTGGACAGGGTGGCAGCGCAGTTTCCTGGGGTCACTGTGCCTAAGTGGTTGGCGTACAAGGCTGCTCAGAAGCCCCCTTATGTGTGTCTTTGGCATGCTGGGATGGGTGGACTCTGCCTGTAATTCTGATTAGATCCTCGAAGGGGGGGGGGAATTAGAAAAAGCAAGCAGATGACCACAAGTTGGGAGTACAGGGAGGAAGTGACTGGGGGAGAAGCAGAAGAGAGCCACAGAAAGAGGTTGAGGAGAAGGAGGCCCAACGCTTCCTCAGAGGCCAGCGGCCCAGTAGAGGCTTGAGGAGCGGTCGGTGAGAAGATCTGTCCCCAGTCATCTTAGCCCCACCTCCTCCTTCCAGGAGGCAGAGTTTGAGGAGGGTGGATGTTTCCAGAATCCCTTCCAAGACTGACACTGTGCACTCTCAGATGTACAGGTGAGAAAAAGTGATGTGGGCTTCACTCTCGTGGACGTGGATACGGGGGCTCATGGGGGAGAGGCACTGGTATGTGGGCTTCACTCTCGTGGACGTGGATGCGGGGGGTCATGGGGGAGAGGCACTGGTATGTGGGCTTCACTCTCGTGGACGTGGATGCGGGGGGTCATGGGGGAGAGGCACTGGTATGTGGGCTTCACTCTCGTGGATGTGGACATGGGGAGTCATGGGGGAGAGGCACTGGTAAGGAGAAGGCAAGGCATGTGGGTGATACGTACTGAGCACACCTGGGGGAGAGGGCATGAGGCACACAGTGCTGGGGCCCCAGTGTGAGCGCTTGAGAAAGACCTCTGAGCTTGGACATAAAGCACAAATAGGAGCATTGTGACTGTCCCTGGACAGAGCAAAAGGAACTGGGTCGAGTACCCCAGGCTGGGTCTTTAAACCACCAAGGTGGAAGGGGGTGGTGGAGGGAGGTGGCAGGGATAGGGCCATGTCTGTGGACAGCCAGGCAACACTGATGTGTAGACATTGCAACTTGGCCTGGTTTGCATTTTTGTAAGAGTCCAGAAGAGAAGATCGTGGTGTGGGCTGGGAACCTGGCAAAGATGAAGAGGAGCAGATGGATTCCAGGCCCAGGTGGGAGGCAAGGCTAGCACAGAAGATGGAGGAGAGAACATAAAGATTTCGGGGATTAGGGAAAGGTCACATTTGTTTCCTTCCTGTGCTGGATCCTTGCATTGGTGAAGGGAAAAGCCATGGTGAGAAGGAGCCTGAGAAAAGAGACAGGAGGGAGTCTGTGGGTCTATTGTCTCAAGAGCCTTGGGCTGGGCCTTAGCGGTTGAATGCTTGCCTGAGCTAGGCCTGGGTTCTGTTCCCCAGTGCTGCAGTAATACACTACTTAAAATAAAAACCACTGAATTTCTAAAGAGATAAGTGAGGAGAAAGGGCTCCGGATGGATTCACACTCGGGAAGGAGGGGAGTGGAGGTTTGAAGTTGCTGTCCACAAAGGAAGGTACAGAGGCTTGT